TGAGAGAGGCCATGACCGCGCGAAGGCGGGTGGCCAGCGTTTTGGCCAGGATCTTATAGTCCGCACACAGCAGGGAGACCGGCCGCCAGTTCTTCATGTAGCCCAGGTCCCCCTTCTTGGGCAGCAGGGTCAGCACATATGCTTTTGCCTGGAGTATTATGAGAATGAACTCTGATTCCAGTAGGTATCAGACAGAATTTCCCTGGATAAGTGACAGTTCTTCCATTAAAAGAGAACAGCCCAGTCCATACTGAAACTGATCACGCACTGCCATTAAGATCATGTGGACCAAGAAGCTTCACAAACAGTTTGGAAAGCAGATAACTACACATGGAGTTAGTACAAAAAGGAAAGAACTACACCGAAACAACATTGCACTTCCACAGGGCAAAACACTATAGCACCTTGGCATGGCTGGCAGACTTTTATTTTCCTCTGTGCGGAAGGAATGAATGTAATGTATACCAGGTGCAAAAAGTCATTGTTTGAAACTTTGGTATCAAGCAGGTGGGTGATCAGAGGGGTAGAATGGAACCAGTTGCACCAGGTCTTTTAGATCTTTGTGAATTACAGGAATAACTTTCTTTTTCTTCATTGTTTGATTAAGGAGATCAATGTTATGTTCTTCTTTATATATATGGCTGTATGTATATATGTATATGTATGTGTGCACAAATATATATACATATATAAATATATATATGTATATAATATATAATCCTTATCAAATAATTCTTATCCTTCCTCATCAAAGGCTGAAAGATGGCTTTTTAGATCTCCCTTGCTCCAAAGTGTGGGTGTGCATGTGCCCATGTGTGCGTGTGCCCACAGTGGGAAGTCATCATACCTGGACAACTAGCAAGGAAACCACGTGGCTACGCTTTTCAGCTGTGCCAGGAAAAACAGCAGCAGGAAGGGAACTGGTTAGTATATAAATGCAATACAATATAATGTAAGGGACTGGTTAATATATACTACAAAAATAATAATACGATAGATAGATAGATAGATAGCATTATTATATTACATATAACATTGTTATATTATGTACTGTATTGACCAAAGTATATATAATGATATCATTATACTATCTATTGACCAATTTACATTATATATAGAAACATGATTATAGTATATGTATATTGTAGACATTCACCAGTCCTTTATATTATGTTGTATTGTATTACATTGTATATTATTATATTGTATTTATATAGTAACTGCTGGTTTTCTATAGCCACACGGTTTGCTTGCCAGCTGTCCGGGGCAGGCCTGCCCACCCTGGGCGCGCGCACTCACCCACACGCTGCCGCACGTTTGGGAGCAAGAGAGCTCTAAAAAGCCACCTCCAAGCCTTTGATAAGGAAGGGGGAAGAGGTCAGGACAACCACTCCCCGGGAAGGACTTGCAGGGGAAGGGAAGAGGAGCTGCAGAAGGCTCTGGGTGGGGACTTCAATCCCCTGAAGGTGGCGCTCCTAGGTATTGACCATGTCCCACGCCCCCCCCCTCCAGCACCACCAAAAAAAGGAAATAATAAATAAATAAAGCGGGCGAGAGCACCAGCTCAGCCACACAGCGAGAGAGGCTGGGGGGGGCGAGCGGGGAGTGCCAGGCAGCGCAGGAAGCCCCTCCAGGTGCTCCCCTC